CCCCAAAACCCCAAAACCCCAAAACCCCAAAACCCCATCTGACTAATTTTAAATCAAAATGGAAATAAAATTTATCAAGATTAAATGATTTTGACATTTAGACATTTATACAGGAATATATTTTAAGAAATCATCAATAATTAAATTTAAGAATTTATCGTAATGAGTGTAATTGCAGCAGCAGCATAAATTGAAGACATAAATAAATTCTCCTTTTTGAAGAAATAGACAACTCAATATTCAGCTAGAGGCAAAAATAACTCTTAGCATGAAGGTGCCCAGTAAGGTAATGCTCCTTAGCAATCTTTGCACAAAAATGAGAGTGTTAAACTTCCTTAAATTAAAAATCAGAATCAAACTTATTCCAACAATTCTAATCAATATAACTCCTCTCAAAACCAATCAATTAACACAATTGACTGCAAAATAGCTTTCAAAGACTTAATGAGTCAGTATCACAAGGATAACTCTAGATGCTTTGACTGTGGAGGAAATCATCCATCTTGGGTCTCAGTGAATCTCGGTATATTTCTTTGTTTAAACTGCGCTGGACAACATAGAGGTTATGGAGTTTAAATATCATTCATGCGTTCTGTTCTAATGGATAAGCTCACAAAAAAACAATTGAAATTACTGAATCTCGCAGGTAATTAGAGATTGCATGAGTTTTTCGAATAGTATGATCTTAATAAAGAGACTCCAAATCTAAAGTATAAATCTAAAGCAGCTCAGTATTACAGAGAGTTGCTTTAATGTGAATGTGCTGAAAGGTAATTAGAATTGGTTTAGCCTGAATATAACGATGGTAGATAAATAATGGATTCTTTTATGTCAAAAGACAATAAAACTGTACTCAAACCTTAACTTCTAATTCAAAGAAAGCGATCATTTGATAGCTCAATGAATTCAAGCAAAAGCATCCCATCAAATATGCTGGTTTTGGACTAAGATTGTGATCCCATTTTCAATGATGACTCTTTGATGAGAATTCAAATGCAACTGAGTAACACCAATAGTAGGAGTGGATAGAACTCATTAAAATAGGCTAATTCCCAAGATAAAATTAAATCAAATCTAGGTGGTTCTAAGGATTCATAAAATGAGTAATTTCTCCTTATATAGAATACTAAACTCGGTAGTGTTGGTGCTTCAACAATCCCAAAAGACAGCAAAAAGCAATAGATAGACTTGATTCAGTTTACAAAGAAGCTGAATGAAGAATTAGCTATGAGAAGTAAGAAGTTAGCTGAAAAACTGGAAGAGTAGAAGATTTCTGAGAGAGCGAGTGAATTAGCACAGAAAAGCTATGAGCTAAGCAAAGAAATTTACCGTAAAGCATCTGATTCTATCCATTCTCTCAATGACAGTGAGAAGATTAGGATGCTAAGGAAGAGGACTAACAACGGACTCGATAGCTTTGGTGACAAGCTGGATCAACTCAAAAACTCAATATGGTCTTTTATGACAGAAGCCTGTTCAGGAAGAGCTTGTCCTCATGGAGAAAGACCGTCAACTATGCTGAAGTAAGAATTTGTAATAGTAGATAATCATGGAAACTAAGTTTTTGACAGAAATTCTTCAGCACCAATATAACAATAGAATGTACCTTTCTAAGAAGCTCCATCAAATGAAGAGTATCTATGAGTTGGATTGTCAAGGAAATAAGTTAATTTGCCTGGATATAGTATGATTATTTATTTTAATACTAGTTAAAGATGAATATGATTATTTAATAAGATTTCTTAAATTCCGGATTCCACTGATGTTTATTATTTAATTAAATTCGAACCTTTCAGGTCTCTATGGGAGCTTAGCTAGGAAATGATTACGTTGAACCTTCAAGAAAAAATACAAGTACGTAATCTCCCTAGTTTAGTTTGATAAATTATTGTTTAATTAGATGCTATAAATCTAAATAATGCTCTTGATTATTACGGGAGTGTGGAATCAAGATATGACTTCCAGAACAAGTTGTCAGATGAAAAGATGCCGCCCAGAACACGGGTCCAGAGCGAATTTAATGTGCTAGACTACTTTTAAGAGAAAAGCTTTTAGCTGAACAGCTTGCGGAGACCGACTATGCATAAATTCGGTCGCCAGAACAAGCAAGTGAAGGAAATCGAGCCAATCCAAAAACAAGCAACTTTGATAAATCGTCAAAAATTATTCTCTAAATTAGGAATAAGTATGATACATACTTATTTTGAATATTAATTATTATAGAAAACTAATAGCCACATGAGACTCCTAAAGTAATCACCGAAGAGGGCTCAAGTCCCAAGGCTGCAAGACAACAAAAACTATTCAGCATCAAAGGAAAAGACCACGAGGGAGTCATTAAAGACGTGGAGGTCGTGCAAGACCACTTCGACAGAGAATTTTAAATACCTGATGATATCGAGCTAGATGACTACACTAGAAAGATGACATACGACAACTTGGCAGATTGCCAATTCTACAAGAGAGAGGACCTTGTGAGCATCGAATCTAACTTGAGGTTTCTAAGAAATGCCTAGCTTGAAAACGGTATTAGCAATCGCACATCCTGTGATCTTCTTACTAGATCCAAACCGAAGGCTAAGAGACACAGGGTATCTTCCCAATAAAATCTCGATAATATTGAGGAGGAGCAGCTCTTGTAAGAATTTGAAAACCCCCTCTAATAGCCTGATATTAATGATTGTCTGTCTTACACCAAGTCAGCTGACGACTAGATCCAGGAAAACCTAGAGGGTGGTTGTGACGTCAAAGATATCCAAGATGAGTTCGTTCTTTAGTACACCAATCATTATGAGTAAATGTCCACTGTAGGTGGATTGACAGAATCTCCAAGCAAGAACGGCCAATCAAGCAACCACGGCGACTTATTCTCCGAATTCCAAATCAATGCATCCAACAGAAACAGATCCTTCTCCTAAGAAACTGAGCTTATAACGGTCACTGGTCACGAACAGTTCTAAAGAAAGAACAGTCTGATGTTTATTGAGTGCGAACAAGTCAACGAATAAATAGACAGAATGGAAAGAAACAGTGTTGGCAACAGATCCCTTCAACCCGAAATCTTGGACGACCACAACCAAATATAATTGCCAGACGATCTTGCCGATATCAACTTCCTGGATAGAGTCGATAAATAGACAGAAGTGGCGATAGAAGACTTGAGGGACTAAGAGGACGCCATTCCTGTGCCGAACGATGAGATAGAGCCTCCACCATCCGCAAGGAAGGTGGAGGTTTTCGATGATCATATCCTACATCCATTGAGCACAGAGGATAATTACTCCTAATACTTCTACGATGATTAGGACACTCTTGCTCATGATATTTAGGTCAAGGACTCTTTCTAAAACAGCAAGATCCTCAGACTGAAGTATCTCTCTAAACTTGCCAAAGAGCAGGTTTGGCTCCCCCCTATGAAGCAGCCTAAATAAAACTAAAACTTAGTAATTTTGGACTGGGACGATACCATCTTCCCAACTTCACATTTGAATCCAGTAGACGAGTCACAATACGATTTTCTTTTGGAAAAATATTAAAAGTATCTCACAGAGATTGAAGAGTAAGCAATTAAACTATTCTAAAGTTGTACTAAACAATGTAAAGTGGTCATTATTACAAACGCTAAGAAGGGCTGGGTTGAATTTTCCTCTCGCAAATTCATGCCCAACCTTCACAACTTCCTTATGAAATATGTCAAGATCGTCTCAGCTAGAGTCGATTACGAAGAACAGTATCCTATGGACACCTACAAGTGGAAACAACTGGCTTTCTAGAAACTTTGGGAATGTAAAGACTTACAATTAGATAAAGCCGCCATTACAAACCTTATAACTTTCGGTGACTCTGAGTATGAAATGGAAGCAGCTAGAAAGTTTGGAGCTAGAAGTGAAAAGTGCTTCGTTAAGCTCATAAAACTCCGTGAATGTCCAAGTTTTGATGAACTTCACAAAGAGTTACTAGTAATTAACGAGAGATTCAACTATATCTTCTCATCCTACAAAAACTTAACTATCAGACTTGAAAAGTAATTTAATTCATTCACGCTAATTTATTTATTTAGAGTCAAAGAAAAATGATGTTACACACTAAGAATCATCATAAACTTGCTCAAGTTCAATTATTACTTATTTCAAATCTTAAAAACTCTTACTACTACCTACTCTTGGGGTTTTGGGGTTTTGGGGTTTTGGGG